GTAATGAAGGCAGTACTTAAAGGGAAATTTATAGCAGTAAATGCCTACGTTAAAAAAGAAGACAGGTTCCACATCAATAACCTAACTCTACAACTTGAGGAACTAGAAAAGGAAGGGCAAACTAAGCCCAAAGCTACCAGAAGAAGGGAAATAATAAAGATCAGAACAGAAATAAAGGAAATAGAAAATAGAAAAACAATAGAGATAAACAACAAAATTAGAAGTTGCTTTTTTTAAAAAGATCAATAAAATTGACAAACTCCTGGCTAGACTGACAAAGAAAGAGAAGATAAAAATATCTAAAATTAGAAATGACATTACAACCAACTCTACAGAAATAAAAAGGATTATAAGGGAAAACTATGAACAGTTGAATGCCAATTATAGGAAATGGACAAATTTCTTGAAACACATAATTTCCTACATTGACTCAAGAAGAAGTATTGAATCTCAACAGACCTATAACAAGTGAAGAAATTGAATCAATAATTAAAAACCTCCCAACAAAGAAAAATTCCTGAACAGGATGGCTTTACTGGGAAATTCTACAAAACATCTATGGAAGAAGTGACCCCAATCCTATTTAAGCTTTTCCAGACAATAGAAGAGGAAGGAACACTTCCTAATTCATTCTATGAGGCAAGCATTACCCTGATACCAAAGCCAGCAAAGACACCACAAGTAAAGAAAACTGAAGACCAATATTCCTCTTGGATATAGGTGCAAAAATACTAAACAAAATACTAGCAAACCAAATCCGAAAGCATATTTAAAAGATTATATGCCATGATCAAGTGGGATTTATCCCAGGAATGCAAGAGTAGTTCAACATTAGAAAATCAATCAACGTAATAAACCACATTAATAGGATAAGGGAAAAGAACCACATGATCATCTCAATCTATACAGAAAATACATTTGACAAACTTCAACATGCAACAAGATAGCAATAGAAAGGAAATTTCTCAATATGATAAAGGGCATTTGTGGAAAACCTACAGCTAACATCATACTCGATGGAGAAAGACTGAAAGCTTTTAAGACAGGGATGCCTACTCTCACCTACTATGCAACATCATTCTGGAAGTCCTAGCCAGAGCAATTAGGCTAGGGGAAAAAAAGTAAAAGGTATCCAAATTGGGAGAAGGAAGTAAAACTACCACTTTTCACAGATGATCTGATGCTATACACAGAAAATCCCAAAGAATCCATAACAAAGTTATTAGAACTAATAAATGAATCCAGTAAAGTGGTGGGGTACAAGGTTGACACACAAAAATCAGTTGGTTTGCTATACATCATCAATAAGCAAGTGGAAAAGGAAATTAAGGAAACATTACCATTTACAGTAGCATCTAAAAGAATAAAGTATCTAGGAATAAATTCAACCAAGAAAGTAAAAGACTTGTACACAGAAAATTACAAAAAAATTATTAAAAGAAATTAAAGAAGATGTAAATAAATGGAAAGACATTCTGTGTTCATGGATTGAAAGGCTTAATATAGTTAAGATGTCAATACAACCCAAATCAATCTATAAATTCAATGCAATCCTCTTCAAAATTCCAAAAGACTTCTTGGCAGAATTGAAAAAGCCAGTCCTCATATTTATATGGAAGGGCAAGGGACTCCAAATAACTAAAGCAATCTTAAAAAAGAAGAATAAAGTAGAACTATACTTCCTGATTTCAAAAAAATATAATAAAGCCACTGTAATTAAAATGGCCTGGTACTGGTATACCAAACCAAAACCATTGCCCCTGAGTCATTTCTGACTCACAGCAACCCTATAGGACAGAGTAGAACTGCCCTATAGAGTTTCCAAGGCTGCAATCTTTATGAAAGCAGACTGCCATGTCTTTCTCCCGTGGAGTGGCTGGTGGGTTTAGATCGCCAACCTTTGGTTAGCAGCTGAGCGTTTGCAACCACTGCACCACCAGGGCTATTGGTACTAGTATGCCAAACCAAAAAACCAAACGCATTGACATCGAGTCAATTCCGACTCATAGCAACCCTATAGGACAGAGTGGAACTGCCCCATACGGTTTCCAAGAAGCACCTGGTGGATTTGAACTGCTGACCTTTTGGTTAGCTGCCCTAGCTCTTAACCACTATGCCACCAGAGTTTAGTAATAGACAATTAGACTAATGGAATAGACTTAAGAGTCCAGAAATAAATCCACACATCTACGGTCAACTCATTTTTGACAAGAGTGCTAAGTCCTTCAATGAGGAAGGACGAGTCTCTTCAATTAATGGTGCTGGGAAAATGGGATTATCACATGCAAAAAATGAAACAAGATACATGCCTCACACCGTACACAGAAACCAACTGAAAATGGATCATGGACCTCACCGTGAAATCTGAAACCATAAAATCCATAGAAGAAAATATAGGGACATGACTGTGGAACCTAGTTTTAATGATAGATTATCAAATTTGACAACAAAAGCACAAGCAGCCAATGGCAAAATAGGTAATTGGAACCTCATAAATATGAAATACTTTTGTTCATCAAGGGACTTCATCAAAAAAGTGAAAAGACAACCTACAGATTGGGATAAAATTATCAGGAACAATATATCCAATAAGGGTCTAGTATGCAAAGTATATTTTGAAAGCTTCTACAACTTAACAACAAAAAGACAAACAACCCAATCAAGAAATGAGCAAAGGACTTTAACAGACGTTTCACCAAAGAGGATATTCAAATCGCCAAAAAGCACATAGATACTCAGTGTCATTAGCCATTAAGGTGATGCAAATCAAAAGTAAAATGAGATACCACCTCATCTCACCCCCAGTAGAATGGTAATGATAAAAAAGTTAAAAAATAAAAAGTTAGACAACAGACGACAGGGGTAGACCCGGTTATGGAGACACTGGAACTCTTATCCATTGTTAGTGGGAATGTAAAATGTTACAGCCACTGTGGAAAGCAGTTTGGTAGTTCCTCAAAAAGTTGAACATAAAACTACCATATAACCCAGCAATCCTAATCCTGGGTATGTACCCAGAAGAAGTAAAAGCATGAATGCAGACAGAAACCTGTACACCAGTGTTCATTGCAGAACTTTTCACCACAGCCAAAAGGTGCAAACCATCAAAATGTCCAACAGCAGATGAATGGATAAACAAAACGTGGTATATCCATGCAATGGAATATTACTCAGTGATAAAGAGAAATGAAGTCCTGATACATGCTACAGCATGGATGAACCTTGAAAACATTCTGAATGAAATAAATCAGTCGAAAAGAATAAATACTGTATGATTTCACTTATATGAAACAAGCAAATAAATAGAAACCAAGGATTATTTAGTGGTTACCAGGGTTGGGAAGAAGGTGGGAGAAGAGGAGTTTTTGCTGAGGGGTCATTGAGTTTTAGTGATGGAATAATTTGAAAAGGATATAAATAGTGGTAGCACAGCATGAAAAATATAATCAATGTCACTGAATTATACATGCAGAAATTGTTGCATTGACTTATATTTTGTTATGTATATTCTCATCACAATATAAAGTGATACATTTATTATTAAGGTAGTCTTATGACCAATTACTGAAAAGTGAGCCTCCACAACTTCGAACAACTCTTTGCTAGTACATCAGTTTGTTGCCTTCTTGGGGTTTAGCCTTTCCCTTACTTGTCCAAAGTTTTCCCCTTTCTTCCCTTTTAAGGAAGCCTTGACTAAACTTCTGGCCTCTCTTCACTACCTTTTCCTCAGGCCATGAGATCATCTTTTTTTTTTTTTTTTTTTAGGTCCTCGGCCATCTCTCTCCCTGTTCTCCTAGCCTCTTATGTCCCCTAGTAGCACTCCCTCAGTTGAGGTGTGTACCTAACATAGGCCCATTGATACCACTTAGCTCGTTAATCTTCCCTTAATTTACCTATCTAGAATCAGGAGAAGGGTGAGGCCAAGAGCTGGATCCAGGGGCTCTGGATTTCTACATGTTCTATGACATATCTTGATCATTACACTGTTTTAGGGAAGTAGAAGATCTTCGTTCTTTAATAGAAGTGGGATTCTCCAACAGGAACATGGGCAAATTGGTGAACCCAAATGCATTCAACCCAGCAGCTACTGGGTTGGATATTTGAACACAAAAATTCCTATACTTGGACTGTGGGCCAGAGGTCTGAATTCAAGTATAAAAGAGAATAAGAGGAGATTGGCAGTGTCATACAAAGACTGTTCCTGTTCTTAAAATAGGCTTTGATGCCTCAGGATAAAAACCAGACTTTTCTCAGCAGGCCTAGCTGGTATGAATTAGGCAGTTCTGCTACAGTTTTGCCTTAGTGATTGTTGTGTATATTGTAATAGTCACCCTGAAAAAGGAAAAAAAACAAACATTGGAACAGATATGCACACCAAAGTTTCAAAAGTCCTAGTGGTATTTTCTAGATATCGCTCCTTGAGCTGTTTCCACTCCACCAATTTATAGACACCAAAAGTTTATGTAGTTACATTGAAAACCTGAGTAGTGAACATCCCCCTAAATTCTCTAATTTCAATAATTATGAATAGATTTTGCAGTCATGTAGTTATCTTCTTGTATCAGGCCACAATACCAATTTAGCCCAAATTAAAGATGAATAGTAAATGACCACTCGAAAAATACTCACTTCTGGCACTTCATAAAGATAGGTTAATGTGATCTTATTCCTTTCCTTTGACTAACCTGTCAAAAGATTTTAATCTTTTATAAAAATTTAAATTTCAACACAGAGCTAAGGTTTGGTTGTTTGATTTGGTTTGTTGGAAACCTGATTTTGTTTGTGTCATTTGGAGAGAATATGGGTAAGAAAATTCCCAGGGGACAGAAAGCAAAGGAAGCATTAGAATCATAGAAGATGCAATGTTGAAATACCTTTAATTTTTTTTTTTTTTTTTTTTTTTTTTCCTAGATGTTTCTAAAGGTCTATTTTTCTGTTCTAATAAAGTAGCTTGCAGGGCTCAGCCCCTGGAAAATAACAGTACTCTCTTCATTTTTCAGATACTGTCTTGGCCAATGGTCATGCCACGGACTACTTATTTGTTGGAAATATTGTTTACACAGTGAGTTGATCTCTTTTTATTGAACCATACGTAAATGGCACGTGTGAATTTAATCTTTCGAAGTCCTTGATAAAAGGGTTTCCTGGTTGTTACCATTTATTTCAAACCCTTAAACTATATATTATAAATTCCTTAAAGTTCAGAATGCCTGGGAAATGCTGGCCTCATTTTTCAGAGAAGGTTCTGCAGAGCGCAGGTTGCTGGGCAGGTAAAGAGCAGACTGCCCTGTTTCCACGTGGCTCTTGTACATCTACCTACAAATGAAAAACAACCCTCGGGAAGGTGGTTTTTCCCAAATCTTCTGAGCTAAGAAAAGGGCAAAAGTAACTATTTATTGTGAGAAGTCTCTAGAATCTGTGTTTCTTGAACTAAACCTACCTGTATGTTCCCCAAAACTAACCCCTAGAGAATCTGTTACCGAGATGACACTTTCAGAGTGTCGCTGCCTCAGAGGAGCTCTGCAGGGGAAACATGGGCTTCCTCACGGAAGGTTAAAATAATTCACAAGAATGATACATTTTTCCAATCTCCTCTTTTTTTCCCACAGTATGTGGTTGTAACCGTTTGTCTGAAAGCTGGTTTGGAGACTACAGCTTGGACTAAAGTAAGTTTTCTCAAGAATTGTTCCTCTATCCAATATAGACATTTTTTACACTATGATTTCTGGTTAAGCCTTAGGAAGGCAATAAAAAATATCTAGCTTTCTTACTTGAAAATCCAGATGTAAAAATTGTGGCTTGATCTTTATCAGAATAAATTTGCTATCCAAAGCTTCCTGGAGATTTATTTTCTGGGCATTCGCTACAGCTCTAAACTGTTAACAGTCATCTCATTTCAAATGTGTACATGGTCATTGTGAAAAAATATGTATATGTTCACACACACGTATTTGCATTCATATGTATACCACATACATACAGAAAATACAGGGAGACAAACACGAAAAGGTAAAATTTCCAAATTTTACCACTGCTGTGTAACTTTCCAGACTTTGCTTTCTGTGTGCATATGTGTGTATTTTTAATGAGATGATGCATTGTAGAACATGTAGTTTAAATGGTTTTTCACTTAAACATATATCTTCTACAGAATTATTGTTCATGATGAAGGGGTATTACTTTTGATACTAATGTGCCATCATTTATACAATCAGCCCCCTGTTTTAGACATTTTGATTATTTCCATAATTTGGGGATTATAGCCAGTGCTTCCCGTCTGTCTGTCAGGAATGTCCTTTTGGCTGCTGTTCAACTAGGCTCATCTAATGCCATGCCAAGAACAGACGGGTGGGAGGTAGAATTGGGCAAGTGTGGAATCAGGGAATCAGTTAAGGGACAAGGGCAATACTGCAGGTGAGAGATGATGGTGGCTTAGCCTGGGGTGATAGAGGAAGAGATGTTGAAAAGTGGTCAGATTCTGGATACATTTTTCTTTAAAAAAAAAAAAAAAAAAAAGCTAGCAGAACTTACTGATGGATTGGAATGTGAAAAGAAAGGAAGAAGGACCATCGTATTAAGAAAGCAAAGGAGGAAATAATTAACAACTCAGTAGATGCTTAAAGGGAGGTTGTTAAGATGTACTATCTATTCCAGATTAAACAAACAAACAAAACCCTCTTTGGAAAATCGAAAAAATAATTGAAGTCTTGAAACAATAAATAAAAACATCTTGTCCATTTTGTCTTTTCAACCGTTCTCTTACTAGATTTATGAGACCTTGTTTTATATAACCCCAAGCTGAGCAAACCCTTCTGATGGATTGAGAAGTGCCTGCTGTCACTGTGGGATGTCGGGATGGGTCTAGAAGAGGGTTTGCCACGGTGGCAAAGCACCTGCATCTTTAGGGTAGTTTGGAGGCACTAGTTACTTGAATTCATTGCTAAACATTCTAAGACAGGATAATTAGAAAGATTGGCCTCTCCAACAACTGGTGAGTGGTCAGAATCTTTGCATAAGGAAAGGTGGCTTGGACACAGGGATTCTGCCAAGAGGTGGGGCTATGGTAAATCTCCCTGTGCAAATAGAGAAGCTGGCTTGAGCATCCATTTTCTTCTGCAGTTCAGCCACCTGGCAGTCTGGGGAAGCATGCTGATCTGGCTGATGTTCTTTGGCGTCTACTCCACCATCTGGCCCACCATTCCCATCGCTCCAGATATGAAAGGACAGGTGAGTGCTACTGATTGTGGAGGGTGTGCATGTTTTCCATGTCAACTGACCTCCAGTGAGCATGGTATTACTTGCTTCCACCAAAATGTGTAAGGAAATAAACCACATGGAAAATGTTGCCCAGTCCATAGAAACAGCATTTGAAAATTTGAGTAGCGTGAAAAGTGTCAGCTGGTATCCTGTGACTTACCTGGGATGCCCACCTTTCCATTATAAATCACCCAATAATTATACACACTATTGGTGTGCACCATCCGTGGCCTTTGGAAAACTGGAGATGCTTGTGAGTCATGCATAATCCAGTGACCATGTCGATTATAGTGTTATTTATTGTTAAGTGTATTGCTATACTCATTATTTGATAATTGGTCACCTGTGAAAAGAAATATGACAACTCTATTAACTAGGAAATTAATTAACCAGACTATCTCATTATTCATCTCTTTCGCAGAATTTCTAAACTTTTGAAAAGTCACACAGAAGTGTTACTTCACTTGATTTGAACTAGAGAGGCTGCAATTTTAAGACTTGTACACTCATTTGAATTTTTTAATACCTGTTTGTCTAGTTTTTTGAGATTGAACTATCAGCAATTACAAACTAGATCATAGCATCCCACAGCATCAGGTCTGGAGAGGGGCTTGACAATCCCCTGGTCCAACCTCTTGGTGTACAAAGGAAGATGCGCAGGCTGGGGTCCTGGGGGGTCCCCGTCCCACAGGTTCCTGTGCTGGGATACATCCACCCACAGCCCTGCCCTTAGCCCTTGACAAGGGGGCCTGCCCAAGGTCCTGGGCACAGTGTGGCTCTGCTCTGGCCTTCCATGGCTGGGCTGTCCTTTCCTCATAGGGTGGAAGTCCACAGGTTGCAGAGCCAGCACCCTCACTTCTAGTCCATTCTCTGTATTTCCAGGATCCTGAATTTCCTTTCCAACCCCCCCAAAACTCACGTCCAGACATGCATGGCTCTCTTCCCAGATTCAGGTCCAGTGTGCACATCCCTTGGCCAGGGACAGCTGTTTGTGAAGGCTGTGAGCTGAGTAGTTGGGATGTTTGCACTGTTGTGTCCACACATGTTTGCATGACGGTGCTCACACCGTGGGATGGAGCTAGGGGTGAGAAGAGAAGACTGTGGGTTGGGGGCTTCCAGGAATACATATTTTAGGGGCAGGCCTGTGCATAGCACACCTGCCTGCTACCTTTGCCTCACTCCTGGGTCTGCCCAAGTCTAGGTGTGTGTCCAGCAGTGGCTTCAAGTCAGATGGCCCAGGAGTGACATTGCTGGCCTTTTGTATGGTGAATCAGGGGCTAATACACCCAGGGTATCTGGGGCCATCCCTGAGTGTGGGTGCAGACAGGGTAAGCTTGCCCTCCCAGAGGGGCTTGGCTGTCCTCCAACACATCTTTGCTTTCTGTAAGGAAAGGGGGCAAACACATAATATGCTTTTCAGTTCTTTTCCGAACTTGAATGGTAGAGAAAATTGTAGGGCGCTGGAGCAAAAGGAGCGTTTCCCAACAAAGATACTTCGTGCCTACAGGCACTGCCTGGCTTGCGAACGAGATCCATTCCTATGTCTGTCTTTAAGTCGAATTTGTAGGTAAGTTGGAACGGGTACATATGGTTCATATTTAGTGTCAGTTAGTCAAATATTTGTCTTAGTATGTAGTATAGAATACCAAAAAAACTCAAACCTGTTGCCGTAAAGTCGATCCTGACTCACAGCAACCCTATGTGACAGAGTAGAACTGCTCCATAGGGTTTCCAAGGCCGTAATGTTTATGGAAGCAGACTGCCACGTCTTTCTCCTGAGGAGCAGCTGGTGGTCTCAAACCACTGACCTTTCAGTTAGCAGCTGAGCGCTTAACCACTGCACCACGAGGGCTCCTATTTTCAGTATATGAGTCCATAAGCACGGTGGTCTCTGTGGTTCAAAGGCTCAGGTTACATGGTGACGTATAAGCTTACATTTGGGACTTTTCCAACAGAAATTTAGTAAGCTGCTCTTACCATCCCAAAGCAAAGCAATGATGTGATTAATCACATTTCACTTTCATATGAAAGCATCTCATTTTTCTCCTTAAATCATGTTATTTTAAACTTTTTGGTTGGTTGGCTGGTTGGTTGGTTGGTTGATTTCCATGAAGCAAATGATGTCATTTTAAAAAATAATATAACTGGCTGAGAGAGGGGGGAAAAAACACTAGACGCCAAGGTTTTCATTAGGGATTGAACGAGATGATTAGTGTAATTTTTATGTAGCCAGATTTCTGAGTGGGTGTTGTTGTTGTTGTTGGGTACCTGTTGAGTCGATTCCGACTCATGTTGACCCCACGTGACAGAGTAGAAGTACCCCATAGTTTCCCAGGCTGTAATCTTTACGGGAGTAGATCTCCAGATCTTTCTCCCATGGAGCCACTGGGTGTATCTAAACCACTAACCTTTCGGTTAGCAGCTGAACGATTAACCATTGTGCCACCAGGGCTCCTTAAGTAAATGCTCATGAGTGAGGAATGTTCTAGGGGAAAATTCTGCCTTTTTTTTTTTTTCAGAAATGTTTTCAGTGATTTTTTATGAACTTTTTTTTTTTAAAATAAGCCCCTAAGCAGTGAGTTTTGGGCAAGTGAACCTGATTCTTTGGCGCTCTAGAATTAAACGAGTGTCTAATAGCAAACAGCATTTGTCACCAGGGTGCGGGAGATAGACAAGACACAGAAAACATTTTACTCTGTCTATTCATAACATCTTAAATGTTGAAAAGATACATTGTTTTTGCTGGGGTTTCCTAAACTAATTTGATTAAATATCTCTTTGTCTTGTCTGTTAATTCGGAATTTTTCTCACAGAAGAGAATACAGGTTTTCCCTTGAGGGCAAAAGAAAGGAAGGGCTGTAGAATTAAAGAGTTGTTCTCCACTGTCAAAGAGTCTTTATCTTCCCTGAAGCACCTCATCATATGGTACATGAAACCCAACAAGACAAATGAGCCAGGAAGTCCCAGTGGAAGTTTTTGAATCAGAGAAATCATCTACATACTTCCTCTCCTTAAAATATGCAACATTTGCGGGATTTTAAGGGACATCCTGTTTTTCCACTTTTCTAGGACCAAGCTAGATTTTAAGTAACTTAAAAATAGGTTGTGTCTATCCTGATTAATACCAAAGTCTTCAGCTAGGGAAAATAGATGATGGCTGTTTCCCATAGTGGACAACGTGTCTTTTCCCCTCCCCTCCCCAACAGCAGAACCGTAGGTCACGGCTTCTACACAGAGGGTTCTGAAAACTGACACTTAGGTGGAAGATGACACGCCTCTCTAGCTCAGTCTCTGTCCCTGCCCCTGCTGAGGTGGAGCTTTGAATTAGAGAGAAGAAGAAAACTTGATTTAAAACTAGATCAGGAAATGTATTAATATTTTCTTCATTTATTTCCCAAGGAGTTTTCCTTTAGGAGTCTGAGGGAATAGGAAGGAGCCCTTGTGGCACAGTGCTTTAAGTGCTCAGCTGCTAACCAAAAGGTCGGCAGTTCAAACCCACCAGCTGCTCCTCGAGAGAAAGATGTGGCAGTCTGCTTCCTTAAAGATTGCAGCCTTGGAAACCCCACGGGGCAGTTCCACTCTGTGCTATAGGGTCACTATGAGTCAGAATCGGCAAGGCGGCAGTGAGTTATGGGAGGGGATAGCATCTTACTCAACCTTTGTTAAAAGTCAAGAGACCTGGGTTCATGGCCCAGCAAGCTATGTAACCTTCGACAAATCACTTGACCTCCATTAATTTCCTTATCAGCAATGTAAGAATAATATCACCTACCCTAATTGCCTCAGAGGATTGGGGTGGAGATAAAATGGAATACCCTGTAGCGGGAAATCCAAACCATGCATGCTCTTCTTTTTCCTGGAGTAATAGATTGTTTTTGAGCCTTTATAAATAGAAATGTTGTGATTTAAACCCCCAGAAAGAGCTCAGCTGCTAACCAAAAGGTCAGCAGTTTGAATCCACCAGTGGCTCCTTGGAAACCCTATGGGGCAGTTCTGCTCTATCCTATAGGGTCACAATGAGTCAGAATTGACTCAACGGCAACTAGTTTGGTTTGATTTTACAGATTCTAGATGTGATGTTTCTCAGTAAGGGCCATTGACCACCTGCATCAGAAACATCTGGGTTACCTGTTAAAAGTGCAACATCGGCACCCGCCCCATACAAAATGTGCATACATACACACACACACACACACACACACACACACACACACATACCTGAATCAGAAAGAACCTCTGAGTATGAAGCCTGCATCTGGATTTTAATAAATCTCCAGGGGATTCTTCCCTTTAAAGTTTGAGAACCGCTGCTCTAAAACATGTAAAATATTACTTCACTGTGACAGAGTTTTAACTAGTGAGTGCTAGGTGGTATAGAGGGAGCCCTGGTGGCACAGTGGTTAAGTGCTGGGCTGCCAACCAAAAAGCCTGTGGTTCGAAACACCAGCCACTCCTCTGGAGAAAGATGTGGTGGTCTGCTTCTGTGAAGATTACAGCCTTAGAAACCCTATGGAGCAGTTCTACTCCCCCCTAGAGGGTTGCTGTGAGTCGGAATCAGCTGGACAGCAATGGGTTTTTGGGTGACGTAGCAGAAGATGGGTCACAACTGATTTATTTCTTGCGTGCAGTGGTTATATAGGACATGACCAGGAAGTGTCTGTGACTGCTGGAAGGCAGCTAGCTTTCTAAATAGACAGTTATACCAAAAGACATTACATCGTTCACCATGGAAAAATACTCCTCACCAAGTTTGGTGCTTTGCCTTTAAAGTGCTTTTCATGCTAGTAAAAGAGAAAAGAAAACATTCACTTCAAAGTCTACAAACTGCTAACTTCATCTTCAGTGCCAAGCTCCAGGCTCCAGCCAGTTTCTGGCATATGACAGACTTTTTTTTTTTTTAAATCTTACTTTACTTTTAAGTTTTATATACACACTGTGTATTTAAAATAAAAAAAAAAAACACAAAAAAA